ACGCGTTACACCGAGTTTGTGAGTTTATCCGTGACAGCTTTCCAGACATTAATTCGTTGATTAGCTGTTTTAAAAAAATTTTGTTAAAAGCACCGTCCCGAGTTTCTTTATATAAAGAAATATGTCCGAATATCCCCCTACCTCCACAACCAGTTATTACACGATGGGGAACTTGGTTACAGGCTGTGTTCTTTTTTTCGGAGCATTTCTACAGACTAAAAGTATTTATTTCCAACTTATCAGAGGACGCTCTCTCTATCAGTCAGTGTAAAGGTTTAATAACAAAAACAACTTTGCAGTCGGAGTTAAATTTTCTTGCGACTTATTTTTCGTGTCTCCCAGAAACTATAAAATTCCTTGAAACCCGTAACTTACAATTATCGGTTGCTATGGAAAAATTTGAATCGACATTGTTACACTTAAAAAACGTAAAGTGGCCCTTACAAGATAAATTTAACCATAAAATAGATTGTGTTATTAAAAGAAATCCAAATTTACAGACTCTGAAACAAATCTCCCTGAACAATTTTAACGATTATGAAACTGCTTTAAAATATTGTGATTTTGTTCCACATTTTTCATTTGCTCCTGTAACGAGTTGTGACGTAGAACGATCGTTTTCTAGGTTTAAAGATTTATTGACTTCTAAAAGAAGTAATTTCACTGAAGACAATTTAGAAAAATATGCAGTCATACAAACATATTTTTCAAATGAAGAAGATTGATATTAATTTGTATTGTATATATTGTATATAATTGTATATTTGCTACTTTAGGATAAAGAGTGTATATTGGAACACTCTAAACATAAAACTAATGATGGTGTATCCTCGTTGATATATTTATTAGTCAATAATATATTAACAGAAAAAGCCAACAACATTATCCCACAACACAATAAAAAAATAAATAATAATATCATTTGTAATTATATAATAATATCCAACCAAATTTGAACTAAAATTTAATAAAATAATTATTGCAATGTAAATGTAATAATAAGCCCGCCCCAAATGTTACGCCCGGGCGATAAAAATCCAATATCTTATCTACTGTGTCGACCAGTTCAGTAAATAACTTGTTTTATTCAGAATGTATTATTCAAATCGAAGGTCCGCTCTTACCGTTACTTCGCTGATAAGAATAAATTAAATTGTCCGGTCTTTAATTATAAACCGGTTTTTAGTAGACTGAGTTCGAAGAATCATAATAATAGTCCTGAACATAAAATCTATTTTTCAATAATTGCCGGGATTTCACCAAATAAAAAAAAATTATTTCGCGATTGTGAAAACGGTCCAATCGTTTTATATGCCATTTATAATATTATAAAAATGTTAACTCTAGGACTCATTTTGGAGTATGAGCATACTTTATTTCAATACTTTTATTGTACTGTTTCATAAAATATTACCTACTTATTACATTTTATTTTTATCGAAAATTGACTTTGTTTCCTGGACCAAAGTAAAGAATGTAGATGGTAACAACCAAAACGATATCTTGCCTTACATTAAATATAAATATTTCCTAAAATAAATAATTTGGTTTATATACGGGTAGTAATACGAGGGATGTTTATAATTTCAAGTCACGAATATAGAGTCGTTTCAAAATATATTGCGACAATAATTGCGTCACATTGAGTCGGAGTGGGACGCTTATTGACGTGTTGCAATTCGCAATATATTTTAAAACTATTCTACCTAATTAATAAATTGTGATTTTGAAGTATCGAATGAAAACTATATTCTCATTGGTTAAAGATGGAAGTTTTTGTCATTTGAATGTTCAAGAATATTAATTGTGATTAATTGGTTAAACACCGAAGTTATCTGTTATCTGATGTTGGTACTAACCTAATGTTTTTGGGTAATTTTGACTGTCATTTCCTGGAATTTCCAGACCCGCATAAATATTTATCCTATTAAAGTACAAAAACCCTACAATAGATATTATGAGTAGGTATTTAACATTCATTTATCTTATCTTATCTTAGGTAGTTATTTCCCTGATTGTCAATAACACATTACCGTATATCTGTGCCAATATGACGTCCACGACTTTTAATATACTTAATGAAGGCTGGGGGAAGGAGTTAAGAGTCTATAAATTTACAAACAAGCTTACGGGTATTTAGTTTTCAAAATTACATTACACGTTTCTGAAGTGTTTTATTGTGCTGTTTGTTTTTAATAAGTGTTATTTTCTTTAATAGAAAATTTATTTATTTGTGCCAAGTGTCCTAGTGTACATTTTAATCAGTTTTATTTTTGGATAAATTGACATCGACTTCCTGCATTAAAGGTAGGTAGTATTTTTTTTCTATCACTCTCGAGTTCGTCATTAAATAAAAAAATTAAACGCTATAATTTTAACATTCAAATATTTGCAATTAAAAAATAATATTACGTATTAAATTGACAATAAAAAAAACTTGTTATTTAATAATAATGTTTCATTATTCTGAATATATTTTTTCTACGATTAATATCCAAAGTAGGTAGGCTTTTGCACATTAAAATCTAAATAAAAAGTTGACGTTTTCTGCGAATTGTCATAATTTGACATTATTGGCGCACATTACCTAATATTCAAACCCATTTCCATGCTTAAAAATAGAAGATGGTGACATTCATTTAAAAGAAAACCATAACTACTTTTACCAGGTGAAAAATTTCAATATGTTAAAATAATTCATGATTTTTAAGAAATGTGCTAGAAATGATACTACAATATTAATATTCTTTTTATGTTTGATTTTCTAATAATGATTTTATATACTTTTAGATTCAAGGACAGCTAGGTATAGCTCCAAGAAAATTGTGCTACTTTGTAGTATATACTGGAGATGAAAATCCACTATTTGTTGAAAAAATTAATTTTCAACCCATTTGTTTTTTTTTTAAATATGGTTGAAAAATTAGAAAAATTTTACTCGGAATATATGGCACCTGAGATAATTTTAAATAGAAGAGGACGAGGATTAAAATGTCTGGATACCCCATATAATGAAAATTAAAGTGCAAAGATTAGCAAATTTATAAAAATATTAATTTAATGGACTTTAATCATACAAGTACTTGAAATAATGGTTTTTTGCGCATAAGCATGTTCATACGTAATTTGCAATTGGTAATCACTAATCACAGATGGAAAAGTATATACGTCAACGATACGTTCTTTTATTTTTGATTTATTTTAACAGGTATAATATATGGTATGTTACTTATAGTATAGATTTTTTTATTTCTTGACCTAATTTATTTGTTACGTCTTCAGCAATTGTCGCTTTCAGTTGACATAAACGAAATTGATAAAAAGTGTTTTTCGCATTTTATTTCGACTGTTTCTCTTACTTTCGAATAGAAACTGAGCTTTGTAAACTTAAAATGACGGATATGTCAAACTAAAACTGACGGTAAAATGAAACATTGAGTATCGTTAAATGCAACTTTTGAACTAGTTTCAAAAATAGCATTAAAATGATATCATTCACAATGTACTAATTTCCTATACTTTTAGTTGATAAATAACCGATAATCATAACATAACAAATAGGCGCGTGTCAAAAGGTCACCGGCGAAAAAAGAGTGCCGATGAAAAAAGGTCGTTTCCAATTGTATCATATAAACAGTATCAGAGGCAGTATTATCATCTCGTTTATCCCCCGTAAACACACATAATATAAACGGAAATAATCAAATACTAGTCAAAATATTATCGATCGGAGCACCATCTTTATTACATTACATGAAGTAATTATTGATTTTTCGGGGTTTATTTAGAGTTAAATTAGACGCCATTTTTGGTCCAAATTCGTTTTGACATGTTTTTTCAAAGAAAGTGACTTATAAATTTTAAATCTACACGTTTTGAAAAATATACAATATTTAAATATTCTGAGTGTACCAAATTCCAAGTAAAGGTTGAACTTAGGTCGTATTACATTTTTTTTTTTATTATTTGTTTGACATCGAGGTTAAAATAAATCTACACGGCACCTTTGAGATGAAATAAAAGGGGGTTATTTTACACGATTGGTTTTTATTGAAAATAATAAATTTATTAATTTTCAATAGTAAGGTGACCTAAGTTAGACCTTTATTTTTAATTTGGCCAAAAATTAGATTTTTAAACACTACATATTCGGAAAACTGTCGATTTAACTTTTGGTCTACAGATACACTTTTAATACACAGGGATACCCCGTCCTTAATAAAAATTTACATTTTTTTAATTTCATAATGTACATAGATTTCCTGTTTGATTAGGACTAAAACTGAAAAATATCGGGAATGGAATGTTCTACAGAGATCAACTAAAAGTCCCTTTTTTGTGACAAATTGCGTGAGGAATAATTATTAATCTTAACTCTTATGAAATATAGGGTGTTCAAAAAGTTTGGATTAAAATTGTATTCTTAACCCGTGATTCTACGCCAATGGGTTATCGTAATTTATCGAAATAAAGTGTATTCAAAAGACCTTGTTTTTGGCTCTTTGCTTGTTTTTTGTTTCGGCCATGATTTCGGAATTTCGAGTGAAAATGTACCAGTATTTCGAGAGTGAATCTCCCCTCAATGTCACGCCAAGACATTTTGGGTGATACGATAAAAACTGTTAAAAACTTAAAAGCGACTAGCACCCAAAAAAATCACAATTCCTCATAAAAAAACACATTTACAGGGTTATACATTATACACCGTTTTTATTGTATATACAAAAATGTGTCTTAAATTAAAGTTATGTGGCTATGACTGATTTTGTTAAAATGCCATCAAAAATACAGTGACTTGCAGATTTCATGAGATACAACAATAAAAAATATATTAATGGGATAACCTTGGAATATTATTTTCCTGATTTCAAAAATATACCATATTAGTTACCTGTCTCTTATGCCATATTCTAGTAATTAATTAAATCATGTGGAAATGTGATTTTTGACATTAACGAGGTAGGCATAGAAAAACTTTTACATAATTTTATTCATTGTAGAGTATGGATAGATATGCACTAGCAATACAGGAAACTTTGAAGCTATATGAAATTTCTCCCGATAATAACAGCAACAAATTTTATCTATGGCTTCAATTTCCAGAAACACAGAAAGAACTTATGCTTCCCCTACTCTCATCTAGATACATGATTGCTCAACCAGTCTTGGCAAATGATTTACCTACTCCCATTTATGGATCTAATTCTGGAGCTTCTTTTCAATCGTGGTTGTTCAAGTAAATATAAATAAAAAGCAAATAAAAGAATTATTTTATTTGTTCTTTGTACTTTTTAGTTGGACTTCTAGTTTAATTTCTGCCCTTCCCACCGAAAGAAAAGAAAGTTTAAAAGTTTATTTACCCAGTATGAAGCAAGACAAGCGTATTCTTATGCATTTTTTACCGCACATTCTTGTGCATGCTCTCTTGGAAGGAAGCGACAGGATTGCGGAAAAAGCATTAAGTGAAATTCAAACTGTTACCAGTTCTTTCACCAAAGATAGAACTCTAGACCAAAAAGTGCTTTGTGTAAGTTAATATTTTTATTAAAAAACAAATACATGTTAAGGAAGAAAATAATAAAATTTTATTTTTCATAGTCAAAGCCCATTTGTACCCCAGGAGTGAATTCGGAGGCTCAAATAATAACGCCTGAAGAAGTAAAGCAAATGCAATGTACCAAAGTAGTGTTTCTTTTGCTAGACTTTTTGGATAGATGGGTTAGAGAATGGCAATGGAAAAAAGGAGTAGCAGGAAATAAAGATCAACATTTTTACATAATCAAAGTAACAAACTTTATTAAAAAAAAAACTTGACTCATTTTTTATAATTATATTATTTATTTATTTTTAGACATTCCAAAATGAACTTTGCAAGCTACAATTGGCAAAATGTAATTACCATTGCGGTGAATACCCAAGAGCTTTAATGTATTTAGAAGATTATATTAAGGACAATCCAGACGAATTTCCCAATAATTTGGCTTTTTTTGCAGAGGTTCGTGGAAAAATGTTTTTTATTAAAAAAAAATTGTTCCAAACATTATCGTTATGTTTTTGCTGTTTCTGCTCACTTTCTTTTCAATTTAGATCTGTTTTTTATTTTATTTATAAAATGGGCCTATTGTATTGAAAAGTGTGACACTTCATTTGAAAGCTAATATTATTATTTTAAAGTATTAGAATGTTGCCGTTAATGTTAGGATTAAATAAATTTAACTTTAATCGCAGTCAACCAAAATAGCAAATTTATGCCACACGTTAAATTGCTAATGAAGTCAGTTTTCAAACGAAGTGTCACATTTTTAGATGAGTATCAGATTTTTATCCCGCTAGAAGGGGGCTAAAATCAAAAGTAACGCAATGAATTCTCCATAAAATTACTAGTGATGGGACTGTTCATGAAAGGTAATTTTTGGACTAGTCCGACGGACATGTCCATAAAAGTAGTCGAGTAGAAAGGTTTAACTAGTAACAGTGAAAATAATATTTTGTTCCCTTTTCTTTGAATATTTTGACCGTTTTCCCAGAATCTTCTGTGCCTGGGCATAGAAGACACACAGTTAAAAGTTTTTCCATCCTAAATTCATTTTCAAAAACAATATTTTTATATTTTCGTTTTTAGGAAATCATGTGTAAAATACTTCTAAACTATTGTAATTTTCTCATGTTTTTATTATAATAAGCTATAGATATGAAACGAACATTCGAAAGCACTGTTAACACAAAACTCAGTAGTCATTTCTTCTTTTTTAAACTATATTTTGCCTTTGTAAGCAATTCTGCCAAATTATTTAATTTATTTTCATGTATGCACAATCTACTTTTCCACTGTTCAAAAGTGTGTTTGAACAAGTCAACTTTTCAGACTAGACCGTGGGACTTTTTCGAGGGACCCATCACTAAAAATTACCTTTTCAATGATGTGTTATACTTTGTAAATAACGTGAGGAATGACATATTAGTGATGGCAGAATCGTATATCGATAAAAGTCTTCCTTTGTTATCCAATAGAGACTGGACTTGAGTACCTTCTATTTCTTGCTGATGAGTAGTGAGGGGCAGAATCGAATTCTTTCAATACGGCACGTATTGAGACGACTATCTTCGTTCCACAGAATGCGATTCTTATGTAATGTCTCTCTCTTATTTGAGACTATGATAGAAAGGTGCCCCCTTGGAATGAAAATTTACCCGTTTCAAACAATTTTTAATATTTTTTTTTATTAGGGATATATTGCCAATGGGAAGTTTTTAAATTTACATCATGTATATTTTATCTTTATACAGATTTTATTTTTAGATTTTTTCTCAATTAGAAGAGCCTGATGGTGTAGATGGTGCAATGGCTTTGCAACAAAACGAACCATCAATTGAACAGAAGATTCTTGCCTTAGAAGTGTCTGGAAAACTTGCAGATGCAACAAATTGTTATGAAAGAATGCTACAACCTCTAGAACTTCGACATATCCAAGTTAATTTACATACAATTTTCTACCCATTAAAATCTCATTTTTGTTTTTCTTTCAGGGCTTAGCTCAATGTTATTTGGATTTAGATAACGTTAACACTGCCCTTAATTTTGTGAGAGGAGCCTTAAATAATCAACCTGAATTTGGTAACATGTTATTAGAAATGCAAGCAGAACCTTTATGGAGATTGGGGCAATATGAAGAGCTGGACACTTTACTTCAAAAGCCTGACTTAAAAGAAAGCAAAAGTTGGGGTGTGCAAGTTGGAAAAGCTTTATTGCACATGAAAAATGGTATTAGGATCAACATTTGAATAAATATTTATCTACTAGCTTTTTTAATACTTTATATTTTTTAGGTGAAAGAGATGATTTTAAAATTACATTGGATGGTTTACAAAAACAACAAGTACTTGCTTTTGGCGCAACAAGTTTAGAAGAAGGAGCTTACAAAAGTGGTTATAGTTATATTTCAAAGTTACATGCTCTAAGTGAGCTACAACAAGTAGAAAAAGTCCTTTCTGACTTACTAATCAGCCCCAATAATAAAGAGTATGGGGAGGCAATGATGAAGAAACTTTTGAACGAATGGAGCTTAAGAATTAAGGTGAAAAATTTTTATCAATTAATTTTATATCGATTTTTAAAATATTTAATTTGAAATTCAAAATTAATTCTATAAAGCAATGTTATAAGTAAAATTCTTTAATTCGTTTTTCAGGTAGTTCAAGAATCTGTTGGAAGTGTAGAACCCCTATTGTGTTTGAGAAGGGTATCTTTGAACCTGGCAAAAAATATTGCTGAACGAAGAGTACAAAACGCTGTCCCTTTTTTAAATTCTTTGATTGGAGAATGTTGGCTTTTAAGTGCTAAGACTGCAAGATCTGCAGGAGTAAGTAAATTATGTGTTACAAAAGCTTTAAACACGTTTCTCTTATTTTATTTATTATATATTTACTTTTTATGTAATCGTTATTATGATATTTTTTAGATGCATCAACAAGCATACACATACACATTAAAAGCTGAAGAGTATGCTCCACCGACATTATTTTTGGAAAAAGCAAAACTTCATTGGTTAAGAGAGGAGCATGAACAAGCCTTTCATTCATTGAAAAGAGGTCTAGAAGTAATTCTTCCAGATGGTAATTCTCCAGAAATGTTAAATCGTGAGCAAAGGTAATTCATTTATACAGTTTCTATATAAAAAAGTACACTTTGAAATTCGTACAGTGGCGGCTCGTGACCTAGTCTACCTTTAAAAGGTACTTAAGATACCTATATAAAATTAATCAAAACTTACCAATGCACTTTAGGTAATCCTCTAGGTAGCACAATTTTTATTTATCCTAATCAAAGTACTTGTGTTCTACCACTTTTTGTCATCGTTTTGTCACATTTATCTTCTAATTCGATGAAACACTCGTTTAATTCATTAAAACACATATCCACTTGTTTTTTTTATACACGTCCTTTGAAAATCATCTTGTATATGAACGTTTTAAACTTTTGTCTGTCTAAGTAAGTTTTAAATCGGAAGTAGGCCTTACGAAAGTTTAAATACGGCATTTTTCAGACAGCAAGAGTCTCGAAAAAATTAGTTTTTAAAATATTTGGTACACTATTTTTTTGTCATCGGCATCAACTGCTTTGGTTATTAGACTCGTCCTCTGTGTAGGCTTTGTTACTGTTTTTCCAGCGCCACTATTGATTGTCGAACTCAAATTATCCGAATGTCTAACTGAAATTATTTAAACTTTTAATCCGATATTTCTGTTACCTTTTTACTACATAAGATCGTCCAAATTTTACACAGAAGCAGATTTTTTATACAGAATATATTACTTTTGTAGGATAACAAAGAAAATACAAAATAAGACCGCTACAGGCGGAGCGTTTATTTATATACTCTACTGTCGAGAAAAATCCATATTGTTTAATTTCAAAATAGTTTATTTATTTAAACTTAAGCACTATTATAATTCACACTTCTAATTTATTTAACAATTATCTTTATTCGCCAACCTTTATATTGAACCTTAACTTCTATCGACAAAGTCGCGCTTTTTATATAAAAATGTAACAGCCTATAAAGAACCAACCCTGGGTAGAAGAATCTCGATGCGTTTATCAAGTGATTCTAGTGATTCACATATGGATATTAGCTATTCTACACACAGGCTACAAAACGAAAAATTATGCCATTGCATTCAACTGAACGAATATATTTCATATCCATTCTACCTAGTAAGAACACTGCAAAAAATCTGATGTGTCCAACACATGACTTTCCTATCTAGTTATTACGGGCTTTTGTAGCACCTCTGTAAATATTTAGAGGTTAACTTAATATATACATTTTCCATATACATCTAACTCAAAAATTCTGAAAAATTTAAATTTTATAATTTTCCTCCAATGTTTCCATTATGGTCCATTTTAGAGAAATCATGTAAAAAAACAGAATTATAGAGATCGATATAGCAAACATCTTTTAATTCAACAATTTTCTTAAAAATCATAATTTTTTTACATTTTGTAAAATTTCTCGAATACGGACCATTTTAGGAAAATTTTGCATAAAACAAAAATTATAGAAAATAATATTAGAAGTAACTTTTTTTTAAAAAAATTTCTTCTCCAAACGTAAATAACAGATATATTCCATAAAATATAAAAACGGCCTCCCATAAAGTACTCCCCAGGTGTTCCGCCTTCGTCCAAAATTTAATCATTTCACCTCAGGCCGAAATAAAACTTAAGTTTAAAATTTAATGTTTTTCCGTTTTTGAGTTTCTTCAAAATTCGAAATTTACACATTTTCTCAAATACGGTCCATTTTAGAGAAATTATGTATGGAATAAAAATTATAGAGAATTATATTACAAACAACTTTTATTTGAACAATTTTTATAAAAAAATCATTTTTTTACATTTTGTCAAATTTCTCGTATACGGACCATTTTAGGGGTGGTAGTTCGCATAATTTGAGAGCGATTGACAGATTAAATATTTAAAAAAAAAATTGTAATAAACATAATAGAGCCGTTATAAAAAAAATCAAAGAGCAGGTCCTACCCTGAGCGCGTAGGCAATACTCCTCAAAAACAGATGCGATTTGTAATTTTGTCGATTCTAAGCGTAGCGCGCGCGAGTCGTTCCTTTCGCTGTGCAGGACCGTAATTGTTTATAATTTTTAATTAATTTTTAAAAAATTTTATTTTAAATATTTTGGAAAAATAAAATCTACGAATCGGTCTCAAATTATGGGAACTACCTCCCTTACAAATTTGGTCGCCAAGTTCGGAAACACCCTGTATTTGCAAATAAACCATAAATTTTCATAAAACTATATGAAATCAATTTAATTACGAGTATTAAAACTAAATTGCTATGTGTGTGGCGATGGAGCAGAAACTATAGTATCTGTCTTTCATGCAGAGGTCCCGGGTTCAATTTTAGGATTGGAGACTAATTAAATTAAATCTTTTTTTTTTCAATTTAATTAAATTATATAAATTAGTAAAAGTTATAAATTATTTGTAAATTAGTCATTTTATCTTAATAACCTAAAATAATTTTTAAATTTTTTAGATTAGTGAGTCGTAGAAAAAATTACTGTACAACTCGAGTGGATTGACCATCATAGCCACTCTTGTTGTACAAACTATTATTTTTTATTAAAAATAATATGGGTGTAGATAACGTTATACATTTTCATTTTAAATTTATAAAAATTGGTTTTCCCTTGTACTGTGGGGCTGTAGCCCTGCAACCTTTACACACAAGCTGCCACTGAGTTTGTAATGATCTGATTTTGAAGTTTTATTATTCTATTTAAGGAAAATATGTGCTGAAGCTAAACTACTTATAGCTTCTTATAATGACCAAATTTCGAATGTTGAAATAGATGTGAACAAACAAAACTATAAAGAATCTGTGGAAATGTTTAAAGAATGGGAAAAGAGTTTGGTAAGCAACAAGATTCTCATTTTCGTAATTTTTTTTCTCTGATCTACGAATACACAAGTTATCTAAAATATTGTCCCTATTTATTTGAATCACTAACATCGTATACACAATAATCTACTTTTATTATAAGAAGACGAAAACATCTTTATTAGGGGTAATCCCAAAGGGCCATCGACCGGAATCTTTTGGCCCTTATTAACAATAATAATAGTTACATAATTGTTTGATATTTAAATTACATATAATACATTGTAAGTATATAATAGTATCATTATGTAACAAGAGTTGTAAGTAACCCATTACGCACGAAGCGAAAAAGTTTCACGATTTTCACGTTTACAGAATTCCAGCCATTTATAAGTTTTAAGATAAATGAAGGAAGTGTTTGATAAAACATTTTTTTATACATGTACATTTTAGATGGGGTAACTTCTGGATTTTCATTTACCTTTACTTTATCACATTTTGAAAAGATATGTTTAGTTGTTTAATGGCTTTCCATCTAGATTTATTTTTAGTTCTATAGATTATAGAATTATTTGGCATTATGAATGTTAGGGAAAATGGGATTTTTACGAAATCTGAATTACTTGAGGAATTAGTTGAGTTGTGATTTATTCAGATCATCTATGATAATTGAATAGTCATATAAAGAATTCACAAATAGATTATTGTCTATAGAAGAAAGAGAGTGGCTATATGCTAAGAAGATATATAATCTAGAATTTCTAAATGGCATTGAGAAATGGAGACATTCGTTGACAGGGAAATTTATTTTCAGAGCATTTGCTTTACCTAAATTAATTTGTTGTTCTGCTTGTACCATAGCTCCCCTTTTATATTTGTATTTAAAATATTTCCTTTTCTTTGTATTGAAACCCAGTCTTGATATGAACTGTTTTAATTTGGGTTTTACAAACATTGCTACGTCCATGTTGATATTTTGAAAGTAATGATATATATGATGTTTTTTCGGTGTAAGACTATTTATGTTTGAATACAAACGTTTAACCAAATTGAATTTGATGAGCTTGTTTTTATTATAATTTTTCCCATTAAATTAAAAAATATCTTTTTAATTTTTTTGATTAAACTATTGTCTGTCATTTGAACACATGTGTTTACAGTCTTCAAATATAAATAAAATTGTATAATAAACAAGATAAAAATAAACATAAAGCTTACTTTTACATGCCATACATTAAGTTTTATATGTTTGAAGAGTATACCTATATAATAACAAACTTTCGATCCCACTTGTGTTGGAGTAATTAGTAAATGGCGTTCGCATGTGCATGAGAGGATATGATGTATGAGTGCTATTTACTATTCATTCCCACACAAGCAAAGTTTGACCAAAGATTTGATTTTGCCAGCACTGTATGTTTTGGAAAATGCTATTTATTTGTTATGTATTACGTTTTAGGTTTATTTAGCTCAATATTTAGACAAAATTTTTCAAAGTCTCAATGATTCGAAAGAGCCGGAGCGAGAATCTAAGGGTGGCGATCTTCAGTTACAAATGATAAATTATTTTGGTAAATCATTGCAATATGGTACGACTTATATTTATCAATCTATGCCGCGTTTACTGTCCATATGGTTTGATTATGGGACCAGGGTATTGGAAGTCACGGAAAGTTCAAAAAAGGAAGAGCGAAAAAATACTCTGTTAAAAATGACAAAATTGGTAGATTCGTTTTTAGAAAGATTGCCGGCCTATGCATTTTTAACAGCATTTTCTCAATTAGTATCGAGAATTTGTCATCCACAAAAAGAGGTAACAAATCTTAACTAGGGGTTACTATACAGATAAGCTCAAGCCACTACACACATGAGACACCATAGGTGTGTCTGATGGTTTTAGAATACCCTACTTTGTAACATTTTCGTTTTAACATTAGGTTGTTAGCTGATTTATGATATGCTATAAAGTTCTGTGTCTATTAGCTTGAGCTTATAATAAATTTAATATATTTGTATAATAAAAGTGTATAAAAAGTATTAACTTCAATGAATACTAATAATTTTGTAGGTCTACATCATGTTAAAGTCAATAATAATAAAACTACTGCAACATTATCCTCAACAAAGTCTGTGGATGATTATATCTGTGATAAAGTCAAGTTATTCAGTTAGATCAAAAAGATGTGCTGAAATTCTTTGTGATACTAGATTAAAAACGACAAGTTTAACAAAATTGGTGCGCGATTTTACTAGTTTGGCTGAAAAACTTATTGAATTGTGTAATAAGCCAATACCACCTGATGTATACACTACAAGTGTTAATTCCTTGCTTAGGTCACTTCCCAGGTAAATATTTATTTTAATTTGTAACAAAGAATGAAACATTTTTATACAAATATATTACATAAAAATTATCTTAATGATTTTCAGGTTACTGTCTAAAGACGACTTCAGTCAAATTATGATGCCAACATTTAAATTGAGGAAGCTTATTCTCCCAAATCCAGATTTTAGTAATGCCCAACATAATCCGTTCCCAAACTCCTATGTGTATATTACTGGGATTGAAGATGAACTTAATGTTTTACACAGCTTACAAAAGCCTAGAAAAATAGAACTCAAAGGATCTGACGGAAAAAAGTAAGAATTTGTGAATGACTGAATATAAGAGAATGTATTTGATTATGTTTCAGAAATTTGAAATTTTTTAGTAGAATAATAATAATATTTATTCGGCTTTGAGACATACATATTTACAATATTTTAAAAAGTAGAGAGTTTAAAATAAAGTACAAATTAAAAATAGTATACAATAGGGCAAAAACAGACAATAATTATAATAAAGAGATACCATTACCGTATAAGTTTCTTCCATATTAATGGTAAGCACGGGAACCAAATAAAAAGCAATTTTACTTAAGAATCGATTTAAATCACCTTATGCGCATGCCCGATCCACACTCTACTTCACGATCTCCGAATGGTCAAAAAGGAACTTGTGTAAACAAAAACTTTTATTTTAACTCCTTCCGTTCCCGAACGCCTTAGGTACTTTAGGAGTGAATATAGTGAAAAGAGTGCGTAGCCCGAACTCACCTCGAGTATCATTCATAAATTCTGCATAGGAGTAATATGTGTTGGACGAAAGATATGCATAAAGCTTATTTTTGAATACATTAAAGAATTTTTCATACCCATTGACTTGAGTATATCTATTAAACCATGCAATATCTCTGTAGATTTCGGAATTTTGTCCAACTGAGAGTTTAGAAAAAGACTGTTGTAAATATATGTGATGGCGTGTGTTATAATTGTGTGTCTATAATCTGATAGTTGGGTTTCCTGTTTTTTTATATTAAGTATTAGTAAGTATATATACAAAGATGGAAGTGTTAGGATTTTATAGTCATGAAAAAGTTGTTTGCAGCTAGTTATTCTTGAAGCTCCAGCCATGCATCTTATAACATTTTTTTATACACAGAAGGCTCGCTCCAGATGAGCTGAGCAGCCCCAAAAAATTAGACCGTTTGAGATAATTGATTCAACCAAACCAAAATATGTTAATTTTAAAACATCGGGATTTACAGTGTTTTTTAACTGCCTCATTAGAAAACATACGCAACTTAGTTTATTTTGATACATGATCTACATGGTTCTCCTACGTTAACTGGCTGTCCAGAATTAGACCTAAGAATTTACTCGAATTTGTTTGTATCAATGATTGATGATTTAGTTTAACGAGATAGCTGAAGTCGTTTGTTATATTTTTTGGTAGAAAGGTCATGATTTCAGATTTTTTACATTAACATTTAAGCCGTGTGACATACAATAACTATAAAATTCATGTGCAGCACTATTAGCAATATATTGAAGTTCAGATGCATTTTTTGCTGATGTTATGTCATCTGCATATATAATTTTGGTACTTTGACTGGTACACGATAGGGCTGTCATTAATAAAAACTAAAAATAAAACAGGGCCCAATATTGACCCCTGCGGTACTCCCGTTGTCACATTTCGACTATTAGATTTACTGTATCCGATGGTTAAAACTTGTTCACGGTTGTTTAAATATGACTGTATCCACTTATTTGGCGGGTTCCTTATACCTATTCGGTACAATTTATCTACTAGCAGTCGATGGTCAATTGAGTCAAAGGCTCGTGAGAGGTCGAAGTATAAGGTAATATTTAATTCCTTGTTATTTACAGATGTATAAACAAAATCGCATAACTCTCCTAAAGCACTAGATGTTGACTTAGTTCTGCGAAAACCATGTTGAAATTTACTCAAAAGTCTCCTGTTATTATAGGCCATTTCGAATACTTTAGCCAGTTGACTTTGAATGCAGATGTTCCTATACTTTGCCATGTCATTTCTCCCGTGAAAAGGAAAAACCTAGTAACTGATTTTTGATGATTTTTCAGGAAACGGAAAAGAAGGAAAAATGTTCACCATTCTGTAAGGTCATTAAATAATTTTTGTTTTTTTTTTCGGATGGGACAGGATTTAAAGGTACCTAAGCCCTTATTACTGTGTTTTCTTTTTAACTTGACTTTTGTTAGTTTTATGTTACCTACTATTTTTTTATTACAAATACGTATTCATTTTACTGTTTATTAAATATTTATTAAATAAATATACAAGATTTTTGCCAAGGAAAAAGCTAGTATTGGCCATTGCTATAAAATTTGTTTCGACTTTTGGTTTATATAACTAGGTAAAACATAGCAAATTACAATTTGTTGTTTTTTAAATAAAGAGTAGACAGATTTGTAGTGGTTGGAAAATGTAATTTTAAAAAGTAAATATATAAGTAAGAAAATATTAAGAAAATACATAAAACATTAAAAGTTAAATTCGATTATTTAACCCATTACAGGCCAAGACAAGTAAAACAAGATATATTTATATTTTTTTTATTAAAGTGTATTTAAAATGCATAAATTAAGACTTATTTCCAAAAAAAAAAATTCTAAACATATTTGTTGGAGAAAAAATTGTGGGTGCGTGTACGCACACTTGGCCAAAAACAGTTAATAATATTACAAAGAAAATTAATTTTTTTAAGTGGAAATTTTCAAAGCAGTCTGGGTGCAAATGCACTTTACACTTTTTACACAGATAAATACTGTTACTTTTGCAAAATCGACACTTTTTCCTTGCACTATTAACCTCCCCAATTATGATATGTCCGATGTTGTGAAATCTCATATCAGCTGGAAGAGCAGATTTAGAGGGTCTTCCATTGTTTGAATTGGATACTGTAGTATTTGAAGTAACATCTATATCCTTTCCGTCATGCTTTAGCAAGGAGAGTGCTAAGTTTGAGCGAAATTCTACTTATGACATTTTAAATTCATTCGCTATATTATAGATTTTTCAACTGCTTACCACCATGCTGCCTATCAGATTAGTAAACAAAGGCCACCACCATTTTTGCCTGTTATTCCGATGCGATAGTTGGAGATACCGTTATCATCAAGGTCTACCCCACCCATATATTTATTATATTGCTGGATTACATTTGGCTGAGGAATAAGTACTTCCTTGCGCTCCTTCCGGTTATAGCGTTTTGTCTGCATGAGTGGTAAAACATTACATGCATTTGTCATTACCGTGACTACAGAATTGTCATTCCATCTTGTTACCAGATCTCCCAAGTTTTGATCAAATGCGGAAGTATAAGAGCCTATTGCCTTTTTTTCCATGACTTTTTTATCTTCAACTGGGCATTTAGCGGTTCGATTATCTCTCACTGTTCCGGTTGCAAAAAAGCTATTTTTTTTTCAAACTTTCAAAAAGGACGTGAAAAAGTTATTGAAAAATATTTTATGCTGTTGTGGATTTTCTACCACAGACAATAGTTCTAAAACAACTCTTGTTCCTAATGGTTATACCGTTATACCGTTTTTGGCCAAGGTGCGTATACGCATCCATTACAAATATTTGTCACTATGACAGTCGATTTGTAAATATAAGAAAAAACAAATTACAGGACTATCAAAATAAATGTTTTTTACTTATGTGATGCAGAAGAAAAAATAGTTTGCTAATATTTGCTAGCTAAGAAAATAATTGTTTGAAACTAGGTAAAAAAAGTTTGAAATAGCACATTTTCAAGAAAATATTTTAAATAAAATAGTTTTCGCGCCTAAAGCAGCTTTAAATTTGAAAAAGCTAGCAAAGAGTCTTAGAATTGAGTGGGTCAGCTAAAAGACGATGTAATAAAAGTGGAAATACCTAGTAAATTACTTTGCTAGCTCTCTGTTACGAAACATTGTATTTTTATTTTAGGGTGTAAAAATAGCAAAATATGATAAAAGGAACTTCCAATTAAAAAAAAAATAAATTTATATAAATCAATTACAGGAAAGACCTAGTACAAAACTTTATAAAGTTTTTCCTACAAAAGTTAACAAAAATGTACTAACAAAAAAAAAGTTGCTCGATTTTATACATAAAAATACCGGGTTGCTAGGTTTTTCCAACGAAAAATATTTAAATTTGCGTTTTACTAGGGTTTTCCATGTAAAATAAATCTGTGAAATAAGCAAATTTTGAAAAAATTTGAATACCTATCGAAAGAGGGCATCAATGGCTATTACAAAATCGATGCTAAGCATAAACCTAGTAAGTCACTTTACTAGGTTTTTCTTTTTCACAGGAGAATTTACAGACCCTTTATTTTTATATATAGGAATGGATTTTGATTTTTTTAATATGCTAGGATAGTCACCACATAAAAAAGACTCGTTTATAAGGTAGGACATAGGTACACTAATATCTTCAGCAATAAAAGACAATATTGTTCCATCTATTTCATCTATACCGGCAGATTTTTTACAAGTTGTTTTCTGTATAATTTCTGTTATTTCCTTTGGGGTAGTTGGAGTTAAAAATAGAGTGCTTATAGAAAAATCTTGAAGCCTTGCTTCACTATAATTTGGTAAAAGATAGTCTACATCAGTAAACTGATTATTAAAAGCATTACATATATTTTGTACACCAGAAATTGTGTTGCCTTGACAGTTAAGCATTTCGATGGGTATTTTTTTTACTGATTTTCCTTTTGCCTCATTTACAATTCTCCAACATTCTTTGGTTGAATTTTTTGCATTAATTGCCATTTTATTATTGTAGGAAAGTTTTGCTGATTTGACTTTATTATCATAAATTATTTTGAGTTTTTTATATCTATCCCTAATAGTATCATTATTACTAGTTATGTATATTATACTATGTAATTCACACAGCATCTCATGCAGTGCACTTAGTTCTGCATTATAAAAATTATTTTGTGTCGTTTAGGTTTAACTTTTTTAAATGTAAAAGTGTTGTTGAAATGGTACAAAAAAGTCGAATAAAAGCTGTTAAATTTGTTATTGAACTCAGATGAGTTATACATGTCTTCCCATGACTCGTTAATAATTATATTTTTAAAGATAAGCTTGTTACCGTCACTTAAATCCCTAACAAAAGATTGTGTAGTTTCTACCTTATTTGTTATTTGCAAGTTGAATTGTTGTAGTGAATGGTCTGATAGGAAATTATTTTGAACAATAACATTTTTATATTCAATATTTGTAAAAAGTGGATCAACTAAAGTTGAGTTAATACTAGTGACCCGTGTTGGTTTTGTAACAATGTTGTACAGGCCAAATTCCCTAAAAATATAAGTAATTTTGTTTCATTACTATTAATAAGTAAGTCTACATTCATATCACTGCATACAGCATAATATCTAGAGGGGTTCTAGTAAAAACACAAGTAATAGTTTCCTATTTATCTAATCCTTAACTTATTTCTGAAATAAAAGATGTCCATGATTGTGAACAATCTCTGATTTCACCCTTTTATTAATAACAAGGACAATTTATATTTATTATACTTTTAAGGGGCATTCTCGCTACATCAAATTTCTCATTGTGACTGACAGATAAGATTTTTGCTTACATTTAAATAACAACTAAAAATTGTGATGCAAACTAATACCAATAAAATAAAAATTGGAACAATTTAAATATTTTCAACAAAAAAAAATCTTCCTTGGCTACAAAAATATAAAGATTTTTGGTCATATAATGGTTCTATGTTAATGTAGTTTTGAAATTATTTTTAACACTATAAATTAAACCAAATTAATGAAAGGAAATAAACACTGAACTCAAACATTCATTCACTTTCAACATCAAGTTCTTCCTCTTATAGCAATAAATCTAATAAAATATTATTCTTTACATTTTTTGATGCATGCTTAGTCTTCATGTTAATTTAAAGAAAAGTTCTGCCTGGATTTTTCAAGAATTATTGTACCAGTAATACTCCTGTGCCTGCAGTAAGAAATTTTCATGCTTAATTCAAGTATCAATATTGAGGCCGACAAACTCCTCAAAAAACTCTTAATAAAGATTTCTTTTCCTAAAGCTGTGAGATAAAATTTCATAGTGAGTAAAAAAATATGTTTTTGAAATATTTTTATTAAAGCAAAACATTCAAATGAATTTCTAACTTAAAAATAGCGAAAATGTAAAAAATTTAACTATGTTATCAATACTATATTAAGTATATACATTTCCAAGCTCTTGTATTTAAACCAACAATTATAATTTATGAAATTTATTTCTCTTTAGGTTTTTCCTTTTCTTCTGTTAATGTTTTATTTTCTTCCGTTGCTCCTAAACTTAGTTCTTTGGCAGTAGCACTCAAGTCATCATCATCATCTCCTAAATCTTTATTATATAAGGTAGGAAACTTTTGCATGCAGCCTTGCATTGTTTTAAACAGGTCATAACAATTACTTCCTTTGGGTTCTGCATCTGAATAGTGGAAACAACTAAATGCATTTCTAAATTCCACACCACATGGTCCAGTTGCCATACCCCCTAAACAGGGACAGTTCCAATTTATGTCCCCATTTGGTAATATTAAACCTGGTTGTGGTTCACGTTCTGGAAGTTTTACAGTACTAGGAATGGAGTGTTCCTCTTTAGTTGCAAATATTACTATATCTTTGTTGTTCGGACCCAATTTTCGACAGTGAGACATATTTGAGAACGTTACAATAGTAAATAATGTAATTAAACTGATAAAGTACACAGACTTATTCAACAAACTTTAAATATACAATAAATTCTTGATTGATTGTAACTTTGAAATATTTACATAACCTAACTTCTTATTTCTTATTTGATGCAGTGTCCCCAACTCTTGAAAAAACTTTCCCCTAAAGCTTTTAACAAAAGTCCCTAAATTTAAAACAAAACCCCCTAAAGCTAAAATTGAAGTTATTTGAAAATTAGTTAGAATTTTTTTTTTTATAGTTTTTTTTTTTTAAAGGTTTTAAAATAGAAAATAAAGTGTACATCTTTGAGTTTGAAATGTATAGGTATAAATCCCGAGACCTCTAACTTTGCTTTTCTTAATTTAACTTTGCTTATCTTAATTTAACGTTGAGAAATTGTTATTATTTATTAGTTTTTTATATAAAAATATATTATATTCTGATAGATTGAAAATCCCCAAATTAATACCCTAAAAAAATTTATCCCCCAAAACTTTCCCACCATTTTCAAAATATCCCTAAATTTAGGGGAAAATCCCCCAAGTTGGCATCACTGATTTGATGTTTTAATCTGCCTTCGGCATTATGAGTATTCGGTTACACAATGAGAAGTAGCTAAATACCAGAGACAATCCAGCGAGACGTGTAACTCAATGTATTTTTTTTGTTCGGTAAAACTTATTTGGGCGATTGTAACCACAACCAGTCTATGATGGCGCCACTAGTAAATAGCGGGAAAATTAAAAATGCTTTAGGGCGGGAAATTCAAACATGGATTCAGAAATCGTTTTTGTATACAACAAATTTACAAGAGAAACAAAAACTATTGTTTCACTGTTTATTAAAAAATATAAAAGCTTCCAATAACATCAAATTGTTTATCATATAAATAATCATTTTAATAAAGGAAGTTTTAATCAGTTTAATATAAGCAGTGAACATAGTTTTTATTACTCTTGTAAATTTCGCTAAAAAAACTTGAAAATTCTATTGATTATTAAATATTCAAACTTGGAAAAATAATACACCAAACTCTTTTTCTATAAATTATATTTTTTTAAGGTACAGAAAAACAAACTACAATTGCTATGTTTAGAAAGTACCTCCTATCATTTTGTGACAAATTACAAAGAAAGTAACAATTGTTATATATTCATAATATATTTAAAAACTAATGTAACAAATATTTTATAAAGTATAGAGTATATCGATACCTTTTTGCCAGACTATCATAAGTGCCATTTGAACAAATGTCGCTTATGTTAGTCTGGCAAAAAGGTATCGATATGTTATGACTGTTTATTTTAATAGAAACCATGGAAATGAAAGAAACACAGATACACTCAACACAAATGTATAAGGCCTGAGTCGAGTTCCCATCCTGTAAACTGGATCGAAACCTGCTAACTCCTCTTATAGTAATCAAGATCAATAGATTTATATGCCTTGCCTTCTAAAAGGGAATGAAGGATGACATACTATCATCATTTAAACAGGACGTTGCTGAAGGCTTACCCCTGTTATTTCGTTTGTTTGTGTATCTTGGGTGTGTGCATTCCTGTTGTGTCCCCAGTCATGTAAAAGTTTTCCTAGTCTCCTAATTTGGTTACTAGGTGGACCTTCTCCAACTAGTAGTCTAATCTATTCAATCTGTTCGGAAGCAGGAGGTACTTTTCAAACATAGCAAATAATATTATTAATAATAAACACTATTTAAAGATAAATACATTTTTGTAATTTTTTTGTCATTGCCCCTTACCTTTCTCTTACACCACCAGGGTATACCTATTTTCCATATTCCCTTAATTATAGATTACCTTACAATGTTCGAATGAATATAACATTTTACTCATGAAAAAGCTAATTTCATATTTAACTCATTTTCAATTTCATTTGAAACAATAATTGGTACCTATATTACAATTTATTATCAAAGAAAATTTCTAATAAAGTTATAGCAAATCCTACTTAAACTACTGGTTGTTCTGCAGGATAAATTAACTTTTCTTGAGATTGATCTCTCTATAAAATCCAAAACCGACCTGATGTCCCCAAATTTATTTTCCAATGCATCCTGATTTAAAATTCTGCCCTTTTGTGATTCAATTTTTTTTTTTCTTCCTTTAGAGTGGCTGTTAGAGGTAGGTGTATGTAAGAAATAGCTAATCTCTAATCATTTCAAAAGTCCTTTGCCAATACTACATGTGCAGATTTTTTACTCAGCATACATTTTACTTTTCTAGTAGATAGGAACTTTGTGCTGCCATTCTGTCCAGACATTCATCTACCTACTTAATGAACACAAGTAGCTGTAACAATGGATCTCTGTTCCAATTCACCTAAAATAATTATAGTCATTGTGTAATATATTATTAAACACACACATTATACAGTGGTTTTCTTAATAAATTGGAAATTACTTACTCTAGAAAGAAATGTGTACAAAAACGCGAGTTTGGTTTCAGAAATTGCTTCATGCAAAAAATAATATGCAAAAATAAACAGTCCCCCCCAAAGAAAATTAATTAAACAACAAAATCAGACTAAAAGAAATATACGGGGCCCAAATTAAATTAATTTTAATAAAATGCACATGTTCATAACAACATTCATAACATTATCAGTTGTCAGTTTTAATACTTTTAATCGATATTTCTACGTCAAAAAACCAGCAACACCAGCGCCCTCTGAAAATGGTGTTAGTTTTATTGGAGAGAGATAGACATATGTAAAGATCAATGTAAAAGAAAAAGAGGGTCATATATGTAATTTAAATGGACCACCGAACATATTTTCCTATTAAGTTACACGTCTCTGTTGTCTCTGTAAATACTTAGCAAATGCAGGCTCCGCCCTTCAAAATTGTTCATTTACTTTTTATGAAAATTCGGGAACTTGTAGTTTATTTTATTGTTTTTTGCTTCAAGCATATTTTCATTCTTTTTTGTCGTTTTTTTATTATCTTTTAAGGACAAAGAAAATCTGTTTACAAAAAAAAAATAATATAAAATTAAAGAATATTTTTAGTGATTTCTAAAAAAAATCCTTGCCTTCACAATATCCCATACAGCATAAAAACACATGTCGGAAATATTTCAACAATGTTATATTTCTGAAATGAAAATTTGAAATCTTTTAGAAATATTAAATAGTAATATTTAAGAAATGTATTCTAGTTCTTTTTAATATAATATTAGACTAAAAAAAAGACATTTAAAAATATACATGTTTATTTAAAGTACATAAAACTCAAACATTGGTTCATAAATAAACAAATAAATAAATATGTTTTAAAGAATATTTCATAAAATATAGAACTGAATTGCTTCATTTCCATCAATTCCTGTAAATGCACTAATTTGAAACAACTAGGTTTTTTTTTTAATAAATGCTCCAAGTAAAGAAACATTTACGATTATTATAATCTAATCATTAAGATCAATTAGCAATTTTATTATTACATAACTTATCTAGGGATGAAAAACTTCATAAACTAAGATTTTACTCACTATATACTCCCGAAATTAGACGGTCAATAAATACGCCTTCAGCATAAAAGGGCCCACTCTGAACAACTGATTTTAAAGCTGCTGTGAAGACTCTTTTAAAACCACTTTAAATACATTTTAAACACACGTAGTTTTGAAGTAGACTTAATAATGTTAGTTACATGTATACTTTTAAAGATCATTTATCTTATTGTTAACATATGAAAATGGTTTTTTTAAAACTATATACCTAATTATTTTAGCAAATAAAAGCAATTTATATTTGAAGATGATAATATGGTGACGATCTAACCATGAACTATAAAATAATAAAAAGTAAGGTAGTGATATAATAAAAAGTAAGGTAGTGATTTAGGAATGCCAGGGTAGAAATATATACTACGCACCCGACTATATCGATAAATGATAATGAAAAAGTCTTAAAAAACCAAGGGGCCTTAAAATTTTATATAAAATTTTATATAATCCAAAATAACAAAATTGATAATCATAAATTAGAAAGAAAAATAATTTTATCTATTATTTTAGATTGTTCTGTATTAAAAGAAATCGAAATTATACGTTTAAGTGGTTAACTTGACGTTTTTGTGTAAGCCTAAATATTTTTATCTATCATTATTTCCACCATCTCGAGAAAGTAAAATGGCCGGAAATTAAATAAAACCGTTTAGTTAATGGACAAGGAAACGTTAAGATCAAAAGGTTTTATTTAATCGAGTTTTATACTGTTCCAAGAGCACATACTCTAGACAAAATAAAGGTTCGCTTGTGATTTAAACGGTTTGGTTTTAATGCGGCTGTGATAAATGCCGCTCAGTTTTAATGTAAACCTAACTTTAAAATCTCCGTGTCATATCAGTCGTTTGTGTTTTGTGTATTTTTAGATTAATAATATTTTGTTTTAAATTTTTCTAATTATTGTAGGTACACCCCTGTTTAACATGATACAAAATGCGGGGTTCAATTGGGCCACGTAAAAATAGGGGATGAGTTTAATTTTATTGTTTCTAACAAGAAGTATAGTTAGTCTTTACAATAACCAAATGGATTTAGTTCAGAACGTTCAGTTTTAATATAGCTATCTAATTGTATTTAAGAAAGCCGTTATAAGGAAAAGTAATGAAATAGTTTTAAAAGGTAATATTTACTGACCAAATTGTCCTAAAATCAAGCAGATTTAATAATAGATTTTATTAGTTACATTAAGAATCTCTTTAAATCTACTTAAAAACTAAAACGTCACAATTTAGAACATAATAAAACTAAACAACCTGCAAGTCCTTCATAAGACTAACTAGTTTTAAAGTTAATTGAAACTAAACCATTTTAAAACTACAACAAGACATACAAACTTTTAAGAATAATTGCCCTTATTAGCGAATCTTATTAGATACTTTAAAACCAGTATTAAATGCTAAACGGCTTTTAAGTGCCCGCAGTATATCTACAAGGTAACTTTAAAACCAGTATCTTCTTATTTACC